GCTTGCTAAATGACAAAAATAATGTGGCATTTTAATACCATGACACACTAAAAATAAACTCTATACATAGAATGGATTGCTGTTGTATTTTATGTATTGCAAGCAGTACTCTTCAGCTGACAGGGGAGAGAAAGCTTATGCCAATCTAAGGCACGTATACAGCTTTTGGAAACAAATACCAATCATTTCTTAACTGTTACTTCTTTATTAGGTCAATGCCAAACAGTGCAAAACCATAGCTAGAACTGGCTAGAATGGGAAGAGAACAGACCTAACACTTTTCTACACTAAAAGGCTGTAACAAGATACCGCATAAAAAGCCTATAACACCTTCACACTTTCTTGCATTTCTTTATTCTGTTGGGAATAATTTCCCAAATGGGAAAAAAAAATCCATACTGTACATGTAGTGTATTTATTTTCATAAACAAATATATATTAATTCAGACTCTAGGACCAGAACAAATTTTTTTTAAAAATCAAACAATTCTAATTCTTCTCCTTTGAACTCTTGAATTTTCCCACTTACCATAAAGAACACTTGGTAGCTTCCTTCAGAAAAAGCTGGGAAAAGAGCGTGTTGCAATAGTTGCAGGGTGTGTATGTGTGTGGGGGGCACAGATAAAAGTAGTTGTATTTCTATTACTTATTTCCATTATGACAGAACTCACAAAGTGCTAGGCTCCCTCCAAACCAGTGGCGAGAAACAGTTCCTGCCAAAACAACATGAAAAAAATGTTGTAAAGGTTGCACTGTATTGCTTAAAAGTTAGGAAATATCAGAAGCTGGGTTGCCGGTACAACCTTAATTCAACCCTTCTGTGCATATTCATTACGATCCAGTCTTTAATTACACGATCACATACTCTTTTTCTTTATTTTCTCTCCCTAGGGCCTCTGCTTCATTTAAAGTATCAGATGGGCTGAATAAGGCAGTTGTTAAATGTTTACATTTATCTTTTTCAGCTCCCTGCAGTTAAGGTATCAGTGAGTACCTTGCACCACTGACTGGGCAAACTCCCTCCCCTGTGTCTGGAGCTGCAGAGGCAGGAGCAGACATCTGGGACCTGGCCAGAGAAAGTAAGAACCACATCATATACCCCCAAAGTGTACATGAGCTGAAGAAGTTCCGAGCAAAAGAGTAGATCAGTGAAACACGCTGGCATACTGGCGGGAAGCTAAGGTACGAGCCGGCAACAGGCTAAGGTATGGCCAGTTTCTCTGACGTTCTCTACTGAAGTCCTATCCAAGAAAGCTGACTTTCCCTGATCCCGTGAGCTGTATGCCAAAGTCTTCATCATGGCTAAGAGCCTGTGTACTTTAAAGATGAGGATCTCTGGGAGCATTGCACAGGCAGGAAATAGCAGCAGCTCCTTTGCTATCCCCCCATAGCACTGAGACGGAGGCGGACTTGCCTAGACTGGGAAAACAAGACGGTTCTCTGCATCAGCAGCTCCTGTTACCTTGTTCCCTCCCACAGCTAGGGATGAGGTCCTGCTGGCAGGCATCTTGCACAGCCTTGGCCTCGAAGTTACACTGGAATTGCTTGCTGGCTGCACAGTAAGAACACCGAGGTGGTTCATTCCTCACTAGTAGACTGGATCTGTATGCACAGCCATTCACCCTTTCTGTAGACAAGACCCTCTTTATACCTGCTGTAACTGTTTGGAAGCAATAGGAACTATCAAAACTTCTTGATTGCTAAAGCAGCGCTCTGAATTTATTGACTTTGCAAGAGATTCAAGGGAAACCCTTTGATGGTCTAAGCTTGCTTTAAAAAAAAAAAAAAAAAAAAGATAAAAAAATCTTTTCAATTTCTTCCCCTCTCATGGAGCGTGGCATGAGGTGCATGCTGCCGCATTGTGTTCTTAAAAGTACAACTCGGGGGGATGATTCAAATCTGAACTGAACAGCCCTGCTGTCCACAACAGTTACTGCTGCAGCAAGCTGAGGAGAGCTTTTTAAACCTCGTGCTTTGGGGTGCTACTACCTAAGACCACTTATCTACTTAGGAGTCCCTAAACCTCCTTCTGAGCATTTGATTCTGTCTGGAACTAAGTAGGAGGGGTGAGAAACTGGTCCAGATAAAGCTCAGATCCAAGCACAGGTGGCAAACATTATACTCTCTTTTTTTGTTGAAGTATTTCCAGTAGTTATTTTGGTGCAATTGCAATGCTCTGAGAATAACACTGATTTTGCACGAGAGAAGTGATATTTTCCAGTAGGATGATGGACCTCATTGTGAAGGGGGAGAGAAGCATCTGCTGCTTCGAGGTTTGAAAGAGAACAGCAAATTCCAGCTTATGAACAGGGCAGCTCTGGATATACCTCACATATGCTGCGGAAGCACTAAGAAAGGACGGCTGGCACCTATGGAGCAGCAAGAGAAGGGGCCAGGTTGGCACCTCGTCCCTTCTCATGGGACAGAGGGACAGCTCATGATCACTGATGTAATATTCAGAGGTTAGTGGGGGGAAAATAGATGAGACCGTGCTCTAAAACCCACATGGACATTTTTAATATGCAGTAAAGTTGTGACTTTAAGCTCTCAGGGTTCTCTTTTGAAGATGTTTTGCAGATCTCCCTTGTGCAAAGGAAGTCAAAGAGAGAGTCCCTTGAGGCTGAGAGTCTAAGATACGATAGATCCTGAGTGCAGAGAAAAGACCCAAAGCACTATTCAGGTACACCTCTAACACCAGACAAACAAAAATGGTGTACTTTCATCTTTCATTAAAATTATTTCACCCATGTATTTTTATATATTTCATTACTGAGTTATTTTTACTGAAAAATAAAAATCTTAGAATTGTGTGTTCTAATTGTGCCTTTAATGGCCCGATTTCTGATCTTTGACTGGAAGAACTGTACATGTAAATATTGGGCTGTATTTCATTTGCAGCTTTGCATAGGGGCAGGGCATATACCCTACGGGAAGAATGAGTTTTCTATCAAAGAAGCTACACTTTGTGCTTTTAACAAAAAAAAAAAAAAAAGAAAAAGAAAAAAAAAAAAAGGACTTCTGCTGCTGCTTTCATCTCCCCTTTGGTTTTGCAGGGAGGGAGACACATGGCATTGGGAGGCTTGAGGCTTTATACTCTTCTTGGCCATTGCTAGTAGTAATACACGTCAGTTCTCCCGTCCACCCAGGGTTTTTCCCCTTTCAAAGCAAGTGATAGAAAAGCTGGGATAATTGTATGGTCCCAAGGGAGAACGCGTTGACGAGCTACGGTGCCAAGGGAGAACACATCGTGGAGCAGGGAGCATGAGGTCTGTGGAAGACTAAAAGTTGTATTTCTGGGGTGTCCTCAAAGAACCAGGGGCTGAGGCTTGGCCAGCGGCCTGTGAGAAGACACTTCCTCTGCCAACCTGCGCCCATGGGCCGGGGGTCTCACCAGCCACCGGAGCCTGGGCTTCCGCTCTGCCTGGAGGGCCTGCCCGCAGCCCCCGATGCGAACGTGGTCTTCAAGCCACGGTAACCAAGTGCGAGGGCAGAGCCATGCTCGGGACCCCCGGGGTGGAGGAGTGGTCCCACGGGGGCACCCCTGGGGCTCTGACAGAAGGCAAAGGGGGGAAAGCCACGTCACCTCCGGTGGCTACGGGGACAATTAAGTGCTGATCATTGCGCACCCCTGCCGCAGCTGGCGTTACGGGGGGGTAACGGGGTGTACGAGCGTGCCCCCGCGCACCGACACACGGGC